GGCGAGTGAGGGGGCCGGGGTGGGCTGCGCGAGGCTGAGGGAAGGGGCTGCGCGAGGCTGAGGGAAGGGGCTGCGCGGGAAGGAGAATCCGGGGGAGACCCCACACACACACACTCTGGAGGGGCCGAAATGGGGCACAGACCCCTCACACAATCGCCTCTGGTTTGTCTAACCGGGTAGGTGTCGGCATCACCTTTTAGCGTATGCTTTAAAACAAATCCCCAAACAACAAAAAAGTTAAAAAAAAAAATAAAATCCCAAACCCAACAGGCTGTGCACGTGGTATTTAGCAGCATAATTCGTGTTGTGCAGAATGGGAAAAGAAAAACAAAACATATATTTGTGGAACCAAAGTTTCAGACTGACATTATTGAATTCTGTGTGCTTAACTTAAAATCTAAGAAACTGAATGCAAAAATTGTTAGTCTTAAGCTCTCCAATTACTGTTAAGCTGTTAATACTTTTTGCGACACGACAAAATGATCACGGTGTGATTATACTTGATGTATTTTATTTTAAACTAACATCGAGCTTCAGTTTGATAAAGAGTGAAAGCAGGGCCTTGTATGTCCTTACTCTTGAGACACTTAACTTGCAGATCTCTATTGCATTTTATATATGCATTATAGTGCATTTTGCTTCCTAGTGCTGGCCTTTTTGTCCTCTCTCTGGAGATAGGACTTTCTCTTTCCCCCACACCATTAAACATCTCGTTTCAGGAAGAAAACACTAGATTTGGTAAACATTTCAGAATGGTAGCGAACTCTTTGCTAATTTTCTCTTACTAAATACCTGTTAAAATCTCTTTTTTTTCTTTTTGGTAGATTCCTGTAATTACAGGAGAGCAAAGGCTGACTGAATGTTTCTTAAAATAACTCGCTAACAATGCACAGACAATCCAAGCCTGTCCACGCTCCCCTGGAAGTTAAAGAGAATGAGAAGGAAGAGGCCTCTCTCCCCGAACTCTCAAAAGACCAGAAGGTTTGCAAAGTGACTAAATCAAAAGTCACCAAGGCATCCAAGAAGGAGAATTTAAGTGATGGGAACCAGGTGCAGTTGCAAAAATGCACCCCGAAATCTGTCAAAGGCCTGGAGAAGGAATCGTACCACAAGGAGAAGGATGTTGTCAGCTGTCGGTTCACTGAATACTTCTCTGATACCCAAAGAGGGGACGTGGCTGGTGAACATACCTTGCCTTTGAACAGTAAGGAAAATGTTTCAAGTAGACCTGTTCCTTTGGAGGATGAATGCTACTTGACACCTAATAGGGACAAAGCAGAAGAAGCATCTGATGGTGGAATATCAGAGAAATGGAGGAAAAAACCTATTGATTTTGCAACTGTAACAATTGCTGAATTTGGGATTACTCAAGAAAGTTTTACTAAATGCTCTGTAGGTAAGGCTGGAGCGACTAATTGCTGTTATCCTTCTCAGAGGGACATCTGGGGTCATCTAGTCCAACCTCTTATCAAAAACTTTAATTTAGGTGAGGTTCAGGTTGTCTGGCTGAGTTTGTATATGCCCCAGGATACATCTGTGATATGATGTTACTAGAATTCCCTATTTAACTTTCTTCTGCCCAGTTGATTAGGTGTTGGTCAGTTTCACAAGGGAGTAGTAAGACAAATCCTGCAAGAAGTGGTAGACAGCTTCTTAGCTAGCAATTGAAAAAATAAAAAAGCTCCTCACTTGGTATATAGTTTAGTTAAATATTAACTTTTAATAAGTTAATTTGCTCAGGAAGGTTTCTTGAGCTGAGTCACTAACTTGAATGTTTTCATAAATAGCATAAATCACTCTTGAAAGAAAAAAAAAAATCACCATTTTAAAGCTTTAGGTATTCTTACAAAAAAAAAATCTTTTTTTTTTTTTTTCCCACTCTCCTTTAGGAAAGTCTCCAACTTCATTAAAATTTCGACGAAGATCAGCAATTGGAGTACAGGGGTCACCGGAACATAACACCCTTATTCGATACCTCGCCCAACAGAGAAGCAACAGGCAAAAAGAAGCTTTTACACAGGTGAGAGTCTCACAAATATCTAATGTGTCAGTTTAGCCCCCCCCAGGAATCACCATGTGTTGGCAGAAGGAGAAGGCGAGTCTCAGGAAGCAGCCAATAGAAGACGTAACCACAGCCTTAATTTTGTTGACTTCCCTTGGACACCTTACATCAGAGTATGGGGATGTTAGAAGGTTTGTTTGTGCAGAGTCTGGAGTCTTTTCCCCATGTCTAACTTCCTCATATATTTTAAACTTTTGTTTACCATAACCTTTACTTTCCTGCATTTGCCATGCTTGATTTTTGGTGAATTAAAGTTGATAGGTCAAAGTGAAGTAGGTACTAGAATAAGTGACTTGGGTTTTAATCAGACTTCTTAACTCAAACTAGCACAGACTGTCAGAAAACAAATTCTGGATATGGTCTAGGTTATGAAAGGAGTAAAACATAATGGATTTCTTGATACAGTTCCTTTTTTGAATATTTTTGCCATGTAAGTAAATTGCATCCAGATTAAATACAAGATTTCCTTCTTGTCCGAGTTTGTTTTATGCCAAAATACAAATACAATGTAATAAAGCCCATGTCATCTTGGGAAAAAAAAGATTTCATGAGGTTAATTTTCTTTTAGCAGGCTAGTCCTTTTAAGCAGGAAAACGTCAGGTCGTTGAAGGACAAGATAGATGCCTTTCAGACATCCTTTCAATCCGTGCGAGAAGGTGAAGAGGAGACTGGCCTCTCTGGGCTGGCACACGTGGGTGGTGCTCCTCAGGAAGAAGGCTCTTGTAAGTGGATTATATTTCTGAGCAATGATTTATCTTAAACATCAGGTTTTAATTTACCCTATAATTTACTTTTCACTAGGCATTAGTGTTTTCACACTTTTTTCCATGAAACTGAGAACGTTTTTTGTGACAACTGGCTTTAGGTATTGTAACTGTTACCTCTTCTGATGGTGATGTGCAGACTTTTGTTTAATAACTTCTAAGTGCAGTAATTTTAGAAGTCGCATGACATTGCTGTGGTGTTAACATTCTTATTTCTTAAAGAAAATAATAAGTATTGCAAAAGCAAGTCAGGGCAGTACTGTGATATCTGTGAGAAGATGATAGTGTAAAACAAACTACAGTGCTTTACTTCTCTGGTACTGGTGGTCTTAATAACATCTCCATGAAAAGAATAACTTGCTTTGTTTTGAAGGTTTGGTAACGATATTTTCAAAGTAGAATTAAAGAATGTATGTGTTTTCCTGAGTAGCAAATGACCTAGCTTTCTGAATCTCACATCCTTTTGGTGAAGAAACACAAAAAGAGCATTCACTGAAAAATCTGAAGTTTGTCTTTGTGGTTTGTTGTTTGGATTTTGTTTTGAATTGATGCAGCTCAGAACAAAGTACCATTTACAAAAGAGTGGAACCTGGATCAGTGCAGTGAAAAGTTCATGTTGGACAACAGTGGAGCTGATTTGAAAGAAAATGTAAGGCAAAATTTGACCAACAGCAGTAAGTCTGATACCAAGATCTGCACCATCTTGTTATCACACCAGGATACGACTGTCCCTGAGCCTGCTGCTGCTCTTTCAAAGGTACTTTTGTAAGTGGAGAACATGGAGAAAACAAATAGCACAGGAAATCTTCCTTGTAGGAATTTTACATCTTATGAGAAGTCAAAGGATGCAAAATCTGGCGTGGGGACCGATCCATTGGGAGTGCCAGTGAATAAATGTGCCTGAGCTCACATACCTGCTGCTGGCTCCTGGGGGCTGTGCTCACTGTGCTTTGATACACAGGTGTTCAATGTGGGTGCTAGAAGCTGTTCCACTCAACGAGATTATAGTCCTTTCTGATAATCACATGGAAAAGCTTGGTTTAGTCTATTAATAAAATTTAAATATGTCTTATAGAAGCTGTTCCACTCAACGAGATTATAGTTGTTTCTGATAATCATGTGGAAAAGCTTGGTTTAATCTATTAATAAAATTTAAATATGTCTTCTTTTGCATCTGCAGCTGTAACTCTGAGGTGTCAGATTCCCAGCTCTGGCAAATACAGCTTTTTCTAGATGTCAAAACTTTATTCATCACTGGGATGACTTTGAATGCAATTTTTAATTTTCACCATATATCTTTTTGGCAGTTATTTGATACTCCATGCAGTATACAGATGGAGAAACTATTTTGTCTTCTATCTAAATATCAGTAGTGAGCCTTTTTTTAGTGTCATATGTTGAAACAGTGACAACGAGGGCCATTTTGCTGGGTGTGTCCTCTGATGCTGCTGGACCAGGCAGCTTCTGAGGTGTAAAACAGCTGTGATAGCATAACAGTTGCATGCAGGTTAGGAAGAAACTTCCTAAATTAATGATATAAATATCCATGGCTTTCATTCCGTCTTTTTTTTTTTCATTTCTAATGTCTAATCCTTTTAAGCACTTAGCTTTGGTGTTTGGGGAAAATAGATTCTATCAAAGTAGTGGATGATTGAGAAAACTCTGAAATCCTTGTCTGTGGGATTAAAAAACTCTGTAGTTCATGCTATTTTAAAAGGCAGCCTTTGCAAGTAGTTTTTTATTCCTTTATCATGTTGTGTGGGTGTGTATATAAATAGATGTTATATACATACATATATAATCCTATAACTTTTTCTCCAGGAATGGGTTTATGAGCAATATAATCCTACTAAAGATATCTTGGAAACAGGCCATGGTAAGAACATTCATCATTATAATAATCTTTGCTATATATAAAGTAAAAATACTTAGAATATTTGCAAGGAAACGTTTCACAAGTAGTCATCCCACGTCTGTCGTCTTGTCTACAACTTATAATGCAGTAGAAACCTGATATAAGTTTGACATAAAGGCTGATGGAGGAACAAAAGAAAAAAGAAAGTGCTGCAAATAGTGATCTCTTCAAGTGCTGCTGCAGAGGAGGTTTGAGTCCCAGTTTAAAAACTGAATTGAGAGCTCCTTCAGTGCAGCGTGGCATTAAACATGTTTTTACTTAAGCACAACTCATAGGAAGGAAATAGCTTTTATGAGAGGAGCTGAAATATTTTGGAAGGTGGGGCAGGGACTCTTGGGGGGTACGTTAGCAGTTTGATTCTGATAGAAAAAGCAAGCTGGAACTGAGACACAGGCTGGGAATAATTGTTTAGAGTTTTCCTTAATTTTTCTAGTCAGGCTTTTTTTAGGGAGAAGTATAGTTGAGTAGTTCATGTCTGTGAAGGACAGAAGGATGTTAATGTAGAGTCCCTCCCTGTATATTAGAGAATATGATTTTTTTTTTTTTCTCCCAATTTACATGGATGAGAGAGAAATCCTTATGCAAAATGTTTTTTCCTTCATGCAATGCTCCCTTTTTACTTTTGTATGTTTTGTAAATTTCTCAAAATATGAAACATACGCATACCACGATAAGAGCAGAAATTTAGAAATGAATGTTTTGTGTGATGTATTTTTTTTTTTTTTCTCCCAATTTACATGGATGAGAGAGAAATCCTTATGCAAAATGTTTTTTCCTTCATGCAATGCTCCCTTTTTACTTTTGTATGTTTTGTAAATTTCTCAAAATATGAAACATACGCATACCACGATAAGAGCAGAAATTTAGAAATGAATGTTTTGTGTGATGTTGATAGACAGAATCTATGGAGATGTGTACATTTATAGTTCATCTTGCTAATACTGAAGCCTTCTCAATTTTACTTGTATTTAATTGTCGTATGTGTCTACTTGCTCTAAAGATTTCAGTTCCGAGCGCATCATGAAAGACACTGGAAATAATCTTGTCTCAGATCTAAGCAGAAAGAAAGTTAGTTTTGCGGAAGAAGTGAGGCTGGAAATATTTGATGAAAGCAAGCCACCAGTCACACCAGTACGGACAACGGGAAATAGTTCCTTAAATGAACATACCCCGAGCGGCTCCTGTCTGCGATCTGTATTGAAGAAAACACCTGTGAAGCAGCTAATGGATAGAATGAAGGTTGGTTAACTCATTATAGGGAGGTTCTAGTACTAAAGATGAACTTCTGCAGTCATTATTGAACTACCAGAAGTTGAATTGTGGTTAAATGTACTTTTTGAGTAATTGACATGTATCTCAAAGAATTTAATGCTGTCAGTGGATATCTATTTGCTGTTTGGTCATCTTGGAAGCTTTGCTTGAAGCTTTCATGTTATGAGAAGATCCATTATGTGTGTTCTTGAGTTTTATTCACTTGGAAAACATATAGGTTTTTTAAGCAATAGGACTGATTGTTAGATGTTGCTTGCAGGAAAAGTTATTTTCAATTTTGATTTGAACAAGGACAATATATTATAATTAAATGGTATTGAATAGATGATTGTATCACTTCCATTTGATAGGAATACTCGAATGGGGCAGTTGACACAGAAGGAGGTGAATCTCCCGCAGTCTCCAATTGTGTAAAAATCTTTGAGGCGTTGGAAAAAGGTCAGATTCTCCTTTTTTTTTTTAGCCAGTCAGAGTATTATGTGGGATCATAAGGTTTTGCCTCTTGTAAACCTGAAACTCTCTGGAAGTTCTGTTTTAAATTCACCAAGCAGCCTATGTATTTTGTTACAATAGAGAAAGCTGAAGGACATAGTTCTGAAAAGCCAATGAAGAAGAGAGTTACTTTTGGAGAAGCTCTAAGCCCAGAAATATTTGATGAAACTTTGCCTGCAAACACTCCATTGCGCAAAGGAGCGACTCCCGGACGCCAGCCAGGATTGCAAAGTCACAGCCCTTCAGCAGGGTCCAGTCTCATTGAGGGACCATTACCCCAGCCCAACTTTGATTGCGAAGATGTAAGTTTTTTTGTTGGTGTGGCTTTTCTGTTTGCTTGGTTCTTTAATTATAAAAGCAGCCTATGAGCCTCTGTGAACGTTCAATTTTTTTTTTTCCCATTTTTTCCACCAGTCTGCTTGGTTTTGAAAAGAAATTGCTAAAATAATAAAATACAGTGTCCTTGAAACTTTAGAATGACATGGAGAAGTTTTGCTTTATGAATTGTAAATAGCATTTTGCCCTGTAGAGAAGGTTCAGTACTGGTAGCACGTGAAATGGTTTTGCCTTGGCTTATTTATATGTTTTTGATCCTGTAGTTCTTTTTTGCCATATATTGCAAATGAGCTCTTATATTCTTTAAGGGAAAAAAATAAAAATCACCTGGCTGTTCCACATATTGATGGACCAGGTTTTTTTTCAGTGTATATCTGGTACAGTAGGTTGCTAAAAAATTAACTTTTTTGTTTGTTTGTTTAAAGGAATGCGTTCAGCCTCTTCAAGAGTTAGTGGATGCTCCTGTTGCTGCAACAGACCTCTTACCTGCTGAAAAGGCAGAAGGTAACCCCAAATTGTATTTTTGTCATTAGATAATGCATCTTTCAGTATCTGGAAATCAATAGATGACATGGGGATTTGTTGTTTGCTTTGATACAGGGGATACATTCCACTTGTTCTAAAATTTAAATGCTCTTGCTTTCTTCTAAAGGTCTTTGCAGGAGCTGCAGAATTTACCTGGGGTTTGGGTTAAATGGGTGGTATTTGATCATGTATTTGTCTGGGAAAGTGGCTGATCTAATTAATTAGTCTTACTGCTTTAAGTAATTGGGCTTACTGTCTTGATTCTGAGACTGTAATTTTGGTGTTTTTAAAATAGCAAAACAGACAACATAAAAAAAATTGAAAGGGGGTTGTGCATGTGTATGTTTTGTTTTCCTCTGTTCTGTAAAGCAAGCTGTTTTTTAACTTGCCATCCTTGATAACCCTCAAGACTAAGTTACTAGTAACTCAAGACTAAGATGACTAAATATGTTGTGCATAATGTTAGAAATTATGTGGATAACTTCCTCAAAATATTAGAGACTTTTTCTGTTAAAACTTAATTAATATTCTTATTTTCTTTATATATAATAGCAGAAACTGACAAATGCGATACGATAACAACTCGTTCTTCTACTAAAAGGAAGGTAAGTTTCTTTAGTGATGGTGTTGGTTTTGTTTTGTTTTTAACTTCTTTGGGTGGAACTGTTATCTTTTATACCTCCTCAGGGGCTTCACTTGTGGGAATCTAAAAACTTATAATCACATAAAATTGAGGAGAATGAAAACAAAGTTTTCTCTCTAGTTCTTCTATTTGGTTTAATTTGAGGCATAGGAACATGAGAGAGAGGCTTAATAAAGTCAGGTTTCTCCTGCAACCTGTGATGGCTTTTGGTATCACTGAAAACGTGGTTGTGTTCCCAAGTCCCAAGTGGGGCTTTTGGTATCACTGAAAACGTGGTTGTGTCCCCAAGTCCAGTGCTGAAGATCTTCAGTCTTATCAACTTCTGTCTGCCAGCCATGGGGCAGGGAGAATGTCATACCCCTGTCTCTTCTAGTTGCTGGAAGGTGCATAGAATTTATTATACAACAATTTCTGCAAGAAATGCTTTTGGATCCGGAGTTGTAAAGTTCTAGTGTGCTTTATTAGAGGGGGAAGGCAAAAAAAAAAGTAGTGTGAAAAAAGTAAACCATCTTCTCTGAAAGAAATAGCTGAAGATGAAAATTGACTATTTTCTCATTAGAAAGACCTTTTTATACAAATAGGACTATATTGTACTGCATAAAGAGACTGTCTCTGCAAATGTGTTCCAGTTGTGAGTGTCTAGTTCATACAACATCATTTATGAAATAATAAAGATTAATTACAATGTGATTTTTACGACTGTTGGACTGTGGTGTATTCCTAAAAAAAAGCAAACATATGCATGTGCACATACATGTGCACCCCAACAACTTCACATTCATGTTCCTCAACAGTGTAGCACCATTTCAGAGGGGACTGATTTTAGCGTCCCAAAACCTGCAAATACTAAGAATGCTAAAGATACTAAAAATCCAAGAAAGAACAAGTTTCAAAGACAAAAGAATATAACCACATCTACTGTCAAAAAGACACAAGTAAGTGACAGCCCGCTGCCGTTGGTCCGTGCTGCCTTCATGTCTCTATCCAAGTGTCTCTTTCATGTGAATTTTGTGATTATTTTCATGTTTGTAGTAAAGATGTTCTAAAGGGTGTTACGTTTCCTGTTGCTTCTTCATGCCAGTCTTGTTTTCCTGCTCTTACTGACACACCCCTGTTTCTTACTGCTTGTTAAGTCTGACTTAAATACTGGATTTAAATACTTGTAGGGAAAAAAAGATACTTTATGGAGGTGAAGGGGCCATTGCTTTTAAGACCTCAGGGACAGAAAAATTGCTTATGCTCTTACCCAGGCACAGACAGTAGTAGTTCTTTGAACTTCCCCAGTTACATGCTAGTAAAATATTTTAAAGGTGTGAGACTTCTAAAAGATTTTGCTTTCATGTTTTGGAAGGGAAAGCACACATTCCTTTTCAAACTAAGCATCAATGAAGAATCTGTAGTTTTGAGCTGAAAGACTAATTTCTTTGTCTTCTTGATTTGGTTAAATGAAACAAAAATCAGATCTGATGTTTGAGAAGTAATTCTGCTTTGCTTTGCTTTTTTAGATTAATTAGTAGATGGCAGAATGAGTGGAACCTTCATTTTAGGGGAAAGAATTGTTATCCATCAAAATCAGGATCATTATAAACCACATTGTGATCTATGCAATCTTCTTGATCTTTTCAGAAAAGAAAACATACAGGCTATGGGAAAAGAAGAAAGAAAAAAGTAAAAAAGTCTTTATATGGGGAAAGAGAGATGGCTTCTAAGAAACCTCTTCTCAGTCCTATCCCTGAAATTCCAGAGGTTTTATCTTCTGTCTCATCTCCAAACTCACCAAAGGCAAATGCATTTTTTTCAGGTAATGTTGGGTTTAGTTTTGTTTTGCCTTCCTCTTTCTGTTACTTCTAATTTTTTATTGTAACAGTTAAATAGAAAAACTGTTGATAGTTATCTTGAGTTCTGTGCATAGGTAAAGAGCCCAGTGTATATTTTTTACTTTTAATTGTGTCTGTAATAGTGGAGTCCAAAGGATCTAATAGGTTAATGATCTCCAACTGGATAAAATTAACTCTTGTTAGACTCCATGGTAACACTGACCCAAAAAAAAGCCTGTGTATTCTACTACTTTGGCTGGATACTGCTATTTTCATAGTCTTTAAAACTGGGAAGTTGGGCATGAATAGTTAAGTGATGTGCAGTAGCTTTCTGGGGCTTTTTTACATCAGTTGCCTGGAATGGTTGCTTAAAAGGTTACTTTTATGCAAGTAAAATACTATAAAGCTTTTGTTGTAATATTTAAAAAAGAACTTTGTACATTCAGAAGTAGAGTCAAGTAACCACATGTTTATTGTGATTCAGAGGACCTATTAGATAGTACCAAATCCAGGAGTGCTGGCAAGGATGTTCAGCAGAAGCCAGTGGTTGATGGAATGAGCACAAAAAACGTCTGTGCAGCTCATGCATGTCCAAGCTTGAAGGACCTGGATGTGGTAGAAGCCAGCAGCTCTGATGGTACAGCATTTCAGGTGTCGGACTGTGATCTGAACTCCATTTCTGGCATCGATCATAAGGTAACTGATGGCTTAAGGATACTGCTAGAAAATGAGTTATAATTGTGCTTGAAGGTGTTGGATCAAAAACTAAATCTGGGGGGGAAGAAAAAAGCTAATTCTAAGAGTGATTAAACATCAGAACAGGCTGCCTGGAGTGGCTGTGGAATCCCCATCCTTGGAAGGAGGTGTTCAGAACTCAACTGAACAAAGCCTCAAGCAACAGCAGTTTGGCCCCACATTGGAGCAGATCCCAACATCCAGGGTTCTGTGTGTTGGTTTGGATTTTTTGAGAATGACTAGAATTGGTGAGGAAAACAGTAGCAGTTGTTTAGTTGTCAGCTCTTTGAAACCAGTGTTTTGTGGATTATTTCTTGCCTATAGTTAAAAAAATATATTTTTTTTTCCAGTTTTCAAGCGATGTGCCAGATGCAAAGTGTGGTTTTGATACACCTGACTATTTCCAACAAGGTAAAGAGACTGCATGTGTGAAGGAGGCAAAGGAAAATGGTTCCTTGATAGAAAATGAGAAATTCCAAGGAAATCTCCTAAATGAGGCAGAGCAGGTAACCAGGCTAGAATTTCTGGAACAAGAGGACTCTGGTGTACCTGAGGCTGCTCAAAGAACTCAGGGTACACTAAAAGATTCTGTCAGAGGTAGTCCACGAAGAAGAAGAAGGAGAAGTAGTGCCATCTATTTTCCTCCTGTTGAAAAACTGGAAATAACTGAAAACAGTCCTCCAGTTTCTTATTTTAATGTGGAAGAAGTCTTATCAGCTCCTCAGCTAAACAATGACTCTTTAGAGCCTTTTAGAGGAGGGAGAGATAACAATGGCAAAAAAGTGAGGCGCAGCATGAGGTTATGCAGAGATGCAGGAATTGAAGGACTTGCGTGGATTCAAGTGCCCAATGAGATTGAAAAGAACCCTCCCCTGCCAGCCTCTGCTTCCAAAATCAGGAGAACCATAAGCACATCCATCCTTACAGAAGCTGAGAATATTCACCACAGAGAAGAAAATCTCACCCAGTTTTCAGCACCGGGGAAGGAGAACACTGACTCTGTCAGGCTGGCTAATAACAGTCCTTCCAAAAGACGGAGGAGGTCCATGTTAACACCTCAAGAAACAAGAACTTGGTCTCAAACCCGGAAAAGGAGCATAACAAACTCTGTCTGTAGGAAGGACAGAAGTAACCAAAAACACTTTGAAGAAGTAGAAACACCTCTTGAAAATAACTCTAACATTTAGCGAGGTTTCAGCTACTCCTGATTTTCTAAAGTGAAGGTCAGTATTAGATTTAGATGTTCTCTCCCTTAAATGCTGCTTTCTTCTCCCTTCTACTTATATTTCCTTACTTGTTATTTCCTTATTCATTTGCTGGATAACTTAGAACTAATTTTCCTTGTCTTGATGCCTAAAATGCTTGAAGGTCAGAAGTGCATGGAAGACCAAGCTTGGCTCAGAGTGTTGGTTGGGTAGACAGTCATGGCACATAATCCAGGATAAATTTTTCTTCCTTGAACTGAATTTGACATCACCTCTTTATTGTAGTCTCCATCCTTGCTTACATGTTTGCATACTTTAGTGCTGTCTATAGAGCAGTAGCAATTAAACGCCGCTAATATAATAAAAAACTTGACAAATGACTGACTTCCTCTGCATAACCAGGCTCAATCATTGCAAGAAGACAAAGACTTTTTTTCTCAGCTGGAAGGATTTCTCCTAGGGGGCTAGTGAATTTTGTTGCAAGATACAGCAGTGAGACAATACATGAGATTTAAATAACGCTTATGCATGCATTTGGGATTTTCTTGTGTTTAGATAAATGCTTGCAGTTGTGTGGGATTTTTGCCCTTGAAACTTGGTCGTGATTGTTAGAGTGGATGTGTTTAGTAGACCATCTTGCTGCACTTGCTCTGCTCTCCAGTGCACAAGCTAAAATTGCTAAATGGAGACATGGCAGCAAACGTGTGACACTCAGCTGTATTTTAAGTAAAGAGGAATAAATTTGAGAATTCAAAAATATGGTCTGTAGTGACGTTACTTTTTAGAGGATTGGGGGTTGATACTAATCCATATTTTGCTGATAGGGCTCTTTTTTGAAAGAATGGGATTCAAGCTCAAGATTTGGTTTTATTTTTGAAGTTTAACTGAAGTAGATAAAACATGAATTTGTCTTTAGTAGTTAAACTGTGATGTTGAAAAGTGTGCCCTTTCAGCTAGAATTGCATTGATGTTTCCCATGTGCTTGATCATTCCTTATAAATTGCTTTTGAAATCTGCGTGAATTTTCTTCCAGATTTCAAAAAAATATCAAAAACCCCCTTGAGATTCTCAGCAAATAAGAAAGAAATAATTTCTGGCTTGAAAGGGAGGAGCAGAAGGCGGGGAAGCTGTTACCATCTTTTGCAAAGGCTTTGCTTTACCTTCTGGGCACGAGCAGGGGTTCAGTTCCTATAAGTAAGACTAAATTTTGTGTTAGATAGAATTAATGAATTCTGCTTCTCTAGTGTGAAGGTTGGGTTTGGTTTTTTTTTTTTTTTAAGTAAGCTTTTAAATCTTGATTGTATATAACATTAATTTTAAAAAATTAAATTGGCTAAGGGAGGTGAAACATTCATCATACAATAAAGCTGTACTTCATTTCTGGACGCTTCTAGTCTTCAATGTCTGTGTACTAAATACAGTGCATATTATTCAGTAGTTGACCTGTCATCTTACTGTTTTCATTTTTCTAGTTTGAACAATGTAATAAAAAGTGATGACTGTAGGTGGTCTACTTAAACATTTGCTGTTGCTTTCATTTTTCATACTGTTCTGTTTCAGCTCTAGTGAAATACCTGCGCCAGCTTGGAGGAAATAGCTTTCTGTTGAAAATGATCTCGTCTGTGACCTTGTTTTTAACATTATTGATGTGGAATAAAATACTTTATGTACTTGGCTGCTTTTATAAAGCTTAAAAGCAAACAGAACAGTTTCATTTTTATGCATGTTTTACTTTTCTCTACAGACGACATCAGTTTTTCCCAAGACAAGAACTCCTAAGGCAACTTGAGAGAAACCTCACTACTTAGATGCTGTTCATCTTACGCTGCTCTAGAAACATTACTGAAGTTATCAAAACAGTTTCCTTAATGTTTTGTTTCGGGGTGTGTGTCACAATGACTGTTTTAGATTTGGAAAGGGAATGGCAGCAGTTCCTTGGGTTGAGCCTTGCTGAGGTAGCAGTATGTTGGTGCACCAGGAGAGGGCAGTCTGACACGAGTTTTTATGGTTGTAATTGAATTTGAAAATAATACCAAAACGTCCAAAATCTTTGACGAGGTACTAGCTAAGCTTAAAATCTAAAGCTCCTTGAGATTAAAACGAATAATAGCTGCTACTTCTAACATAAAATAAACATCCAAACAGCAACTGAACTAGGCAGTGAAATTAAGCTGGAGAAGTGAATCACTTATACACTGTATAAAGATATGACTCTATGGAAATCACATTGTATTCATAAACACACAGAGCACTACAGTTGTGGCTGAGATGTTGGGGGTTACCTAACAGGTTTCAGATACCCAATCTAGCAGTGACTGAAACCTTTGGAGACTGGGGGGGGGTTGTCACATACTGAATACCAGGCTTGAATAGTCAGGTCGAGTCAAGAATTGTCCTGGAGGAAGAGGCAATAAACCAGTATGGATGATACTAGAGGGCTTAATCTAAACTGCTGCCTAGAATGTGCTTTGTGTGGTGTTGCTGTCACACAGCACCAGAAGAAAATGCTCCCTTGAGGTTTCTTGAGTGAATAGGCTAAGTGCACTTCAGATGTGAAGTGTAAGTAAAGCCAGAAATAGAAGAGCAAGGGTAAGGAGAAGAAAACGAAGCTTGAGTTTTCCTGCTGGCACAGCTTGGTTGAAAAGGGTTGTCAGGAATCATACAGAGATGCTTGATGGCCCTTTGGCTTACAGGAGGGTGAGCTTGGAACCTGCAGAGAAACAAAGAGGTTGCAGTTAATGGGGCTCAATCTGGAGGGGACTTGAGAGGAGACAAGTCTTCAATTATGGGGGTTGTTGTAAGGGAGGGGGTGTAATAATCTGTTCTCCATATCTACTGAACAGGACAAGAAGTAATGTGTTTAAATTAGAGAAAAATGTCTCTGTTAAACATTAAGAAAAAGTTCCAGCAGCAGAGATAGTTGAGCACAGGAATACATTGCCTCGGGAAGTTGTGGAATCTCCATCACTGGAGGCTTTTAAGAACAGATTAAACAAATATCTGTCAGGAATGACATATGATCCTTCCTAGGGGTAAGGACAGGGCCTGGATGGCCTCTTGAGGTCTCTTCTGGCTGTATTTTCTGATTGCTAGAGATTAGGGTTGCAAGAGGTGATTTGGGACTCGCTTAATAGTTAAGACCTGAGATAGAATCTGTCATGGAATGGGGAGCTGGAGAATTGCTAACACTGGGGGCAGTTTAGCAAGGGAAGGAGCTGGGGAATTTGGGAGAGCGCTCTCCATGCAAGGCTGGCAAAATAGTCTTAGTGCTTGAATCAGCCAGATCTCCTGTAACTCGCTGCTCTTCCTCAGAAGAACATCTCTATGGGCTCCTGACATGGTGGAAGGTACAACTTGGTGGCCGTGCTGTTAAGCAGAAGTGTGAAGAGCAGAGTGAGCGATGCTGTTCCATTTTCAGATTTGCTTTTCTGAAATTGAGTTAGCATTAAGCTCTGAATGACCAGCGACTTCACTATCCATGTTCAATCAAGAGAAGAACTTTGTGAAGTGGTCTCTTGTCTCCATTGCCGTGTGAGGGTATAGGAATTAAAATTAAGGTATATTGTGTACAAGTGCTCAAAGGTCTCAAGATACTTTGAGTTTGTGGTTCTAATTTTCAGCTGTTAATTGCAGCACTACCTGGAATAGATTTTAATGGTGTTCTGTCACAGTAGGTTACAACCTAATACAACCCAGGGTTTGATTTGCAACAAAGTCACTGCACAAAGTCAGCAGTGTAAAACGGGGTGGTGGTTGAGTGCAAGGGGTGGTGGGTGCATCACTACGTGGTGTGTTAGACGGGGGAGTGACATGTGCACTCTCCCAGTGTGAAGATGGGCCTTTGTAGCCTTCAAATTAAATCATTGCTTTGACTTTTTTTGTGCAGTGCTGAGTTCCTGTGTGTTACAGTGGCATCTGAAGAAATCTGTGGTGTTGGCCAGTCTCTGTCAACTCTCATTTATTCTCCCTACTCTTCTAAAGGGAAGCTTTTTCTTGCTATAAAGATTGTTTTGTGTTTAAAGGTACTTGAGGAAGGTTAAGTGCTGTATTGTATAGCCTTCAAATGGCTTCAAGTATGGTAATAGCTAGCACTAAGTGTATGTTGCCCAATAATTGCATTTAGCAGATTGGCATGTAATTATCATGCTCTGACTGACATAGAGGACAAGTGGTGGGTCCTAGAAAGACTGATTATTTTGCCACTCTGTAATTATGATGTCGTTAATAAGCAAGAGTAATTACATACCACTTCTGCTTGTGCTATCCTATGAAGTGAGATCTTGATACGTTTCCAGATAGCTGAATATCTGAATAACTAGCAGTGAGGAGTATTTCACAGTTGGAATGGTTTTTGCTTAAATTTGCTTAATGTCAGTGAGCTGAAGTTACACAGAACAACAGCACTTATGCTTGACTTTTTCAGAAAGTTTGAAAGGGAAAGTGTTAGTGTTTGCCAGGAATTAATTTATGACAATATTTTGCCATAATTAAGATGCACATGTTACAGAAGTGGAGATAATATGGCCAGCTTTTCTCACCTATAACTTAACAGAGGTTAAATAGTATTTTCAACCTGACACTCATGGTAGGCAGGGGAAAGAAAGATGCACATGTTACAGAAGTGGAGATAATATGGCCAGCTTTTCTCACATATAACTTAACAGAGGTTAAATAGTTTTTTCAGAAAGATAATAACAAGAATAGTATAAGCCTTTTTCTTTCTTTACTTTAAAATAATCAGTTGTAAATAAAGCTTCAGCTTAGTTTTCTCTGCTTGCTTCTGAGTATTTGAGCAATAAAAGGGGATACTGAAACACCTACGTGTGGCATATAAATTTCAGTATTGTGTGTTTATTTAGTCAAGTTGCTGTTTAGAAACGTGCTAAAATGTTTGTGCTCTCGCTCTGAATCCTCTAGCGCTCTTACAATTCACTTAGACCTGGAAAGATTTTAGTGATGAACTGATCCATGCACAAGGAAGCAAACAGAAAAGCATTGTTAGATCTATGTACAAGGAAATGGAGAGAGAGGAAAAAAAAAAAAAAAGCTGTTGAAGTATGCCAAGTATAGCTTGAGCACACAGGAACAGGAGTGGGCAGTGAAAGAAATCTCATTTTCAAGCTGCTAACAGGTAGGTAAGCAATGGAAATAAATCTAAAAACCAACTTTAAAGTGTAGCTGGGTATTCCTTCAAATTGCATGTTTTTAAAATTAGGAGGTAAACAGTGCAAATCAAAATGTTTTAACTTGAAATAAGGTGAGGTCTAATTTCACCGTGTCCCAGTGGAAAAGATGAAGTTGTGCCTGTGACTTATAGACAAGAAGGCTAATGTATTAGTTTTGTAATTAAGTCCTGTAAATTGTGCATAACAGAGCAATTAACTACTTTAACCAGGCTTTGGAGGGGGAAGAAGAAAAACCTGTGTGCACTGGGAATGAGGGCATGGAACATATTCCCTAACTCAAACCTGAAAAACCTGGTGTTAGTCTTGGGTTATTTCCAGTGACCCCTTGACTCCCATCTTCCTGCCCCCTGCACGGATTTGGAACTGGTCAGCCATTTTTGTTTTTGGAAGGGAGAGGAGACAGATATAATGAATGGCTTTTATTGTGCAATATTTCAAAACCTTTTTGACTGCATTCGGATGGGATGGAAAATGTTCTACCCTGCGCCTGCAGCCAAAATAAACAAAACATATTCCCTAAACCTGGATGTGTGTTTCACTCAAACTGGCAGTAGTTAGAGCTCTACTCTTAAACAAGAATTTAGTTTGACAATTTTTAGGCCTTGTTCAGCTGAATGTAACAGCCAAAGAAAATACTTGGAAAAAATTAAATAATACACATATTTACAGCTTGCAGGTGGCATTAATTTTTCTGGTTCATAGTATTTAGTTTTAAGAATCCCTGTTAGTTGGACTATATTGTAGATTTAAAAAAAATATTCTTAATTGTCTTTTTTTTTTTTAAATTAGTTTTTTTTATGAGAATAGTCATTCTGAAGGAAAATACATTTTATGTAGCTCCCTGATGGGTGATAAATAGTTGTGATTCAAGGCTTTAAAAGTTTAAGGTCTACCAAGAAACTGAAAATTCTACAAACACAAGACCCAGCAAACTTGCAGTAAAACCTCTTGACAGAAGCCTGCTCTGGACTGGCTTCCAGCCCCACTAAAGTGTAGTTTAAATACCCTCTTTATGGTGCAGCCTCACTGCTGGTTTTTAGCATTGCCCATCAGTTCAGTGAAGACTTTGCACTATGTACCCGAGATAATTCGTGTTGTGCAACATGTTTTATGTCTGAACAACCATATTTATTATTATTAATAATAATAATAACTTTTAAATTAGTCACTTATGCCCAGAAGCCTCCAAGTATTGTAAAAAGGAAGGACTAAAACCAAATTATCAAAACAGACACCATGCTTGGAACACACCCACCCTGCAAACAAATCTTACTCCTCACAATCCCACCCTATGAGCAAAAACCCCTCTGAACAAATAACATGCAAAACTGCTAATGTTTTTAAATAGATTAACGAGCCTCATTTTTTTAAAAAAAAGTCACTATGATTAAATCATTAAAGATTACAACCAAAGTATCTCAAAGTCCTAAGAGAAGTTGGAAGAACAAATAGTGGTCATTCCTCGAAAGCCCTAATGATGTAGT